TTGTTTTCTTAAAACTTTCTTTATCGCCGATCACGCTATAAGTATAGAGATGAAACGAATACGGCAAAAATGCCATTCTTTATTGTGGTAAGATAAAGTTGAAACCTTCTCCATGTATCGTAAATTATAGCCAGCCTACAACCGAATCAGCCGGAAGATATTTTATCATTTCATCAAATTAGTCTTCTATAAATTCATGTTCTTGTGGTAATCTCCCATATGTTACTGAAAGGTTAACAAACCTCATTTTAAAAATCCCACTGGCTGTATATTTGTCTTGCCAAACTATTAGAACTTCGTATTCTTGGTGTGAATGTCGCCATTTAATTACCAATCCCATAAAACTGTGAACACTATAGCCTAACAGCAAATACTGATGCCTTGAACTAAACAATTATACTGATAAAGATGCTACCGTGCTTTTAATTACTGTGTCACTAAAGTGTCATTCATTTTCCTTATGAGGTAAGAATATTTATTAGTATCGGATTTACAAGAGAGATAAAAAATAATTTTGTTTTGGGTTTGTTCCTTTGACAGCGCAATTGAGCAGAACTGGAAGGTATTTCCCATTCTATTACTGTGTTACTTCCAAACATCGAAAACGCTCAGTGAGCGAAATGAAAACGGCTCCAACGCGTTGCGAAATCAGTTCGTCCTTGTCAGTGCGTCTACGACTGCTATCCAGTTAAATTCTGTTGATTGTTAAGAAGCTAAAGAGAACGTGAGAGAGCCAACTAATAAAAAAAAAACTAGTACGAAGACATCGTTCGAGAGGTGAAAGAAGCAAAGGATTTAAGAGACTAGAAAATGCCGTTATCAACCATATAGAAGACAGGGAAGGTACGATTACTGATAACAGTTCGTTAATGTGATTGGTGTTGGTACATAACTTTGAATTAACTGATACATATGAATCCAGCTTGTATAAGTTGGGAACCAAAAAGGGAGAGTTGGAAAGCCTTTATCGGCGTAATGAATTCATCTTCACCGAAAACGAACAGCTTTCTCCATAACCCACCATTCGTTTGATTATCATTCTATTACTCGTATTTTATTTTCCTTTGAAGGTGGGAACTTTGGTGCATACACTGTGACGTGAGCGTATTTCTATTTTTGTTTTGGATTCTTCAACTCTCCAATTTCACATTGGCCAATTTAACTGCCATGTCTAAAAACTCATCAGTAAAAAGACTGGTTTAGAATCTGCAGATCTTCACAAATTTTGCAATTCGCTCGCGCAGTCCAGTCAACTGAGAAATTATGTTGTGCTTTTGAGTACGAACATTCCTGGTATGGATGGTTTGGTTGACGACTTATGCTGGTTCTTACCAAACCAATAATTATTTGCAGCCATGTTATCGCTTTCATCACTCGTATTGCATCTACCATGACACGGGTTCACTGGAACTGGATAACTCGGCGGCGCATGATCGCTTTGAATTTGAGTATCTACTTCAACGTCATCCATGTCTCCTGATAATCAGGATCAAGAAGGCAAACTGTGTGTGATGGGGGCACAAGCGTCCTCACTTAAAAATTGGGAGTTTCCTAATCTCCATATCACTGGTTACGATTTAAATATTTTCCAATTTTTAGTTACGACGATACCGCATTATTAACCGATAATGCCAACGATCTGCAAATGTCAATGTGGCAAGCCAACAGAGAGGGCTAAAGATTAACACCAACAAAACCAAGTTTATGGTTATATCTAGAGATGTCTTGTCAAACCTATATTTCAACTCAATGGAGAGCAAATAGAGCGGGTCAATGGAGCGGGTGCATGGTGGAGGACCAGTGGAACCCAGAACTTGAAATTAGATGCAGGATAGAAGAAACAAGCACAACTTTTCTAAAATTAAAAAAAATCCTCACCAACCGGAATCTAAATTTCAAACTCAAGTACAGAATCTTTTATCTGGTCGGTTCTTCTGTACGCAGCGGAAGCGTGGACGTTTAAAGCTGTTTCTATCAACAACATTGAAGCATTCGAAATGAGGACACTGAGACGGATGCTAAAGATACCGTGCACGGAAGGAGTCAGAAATGAGGATGTGCTCAAGATGGCTGGATTGGAAGACGGAGAAATCTTCGAACATATTAAAAAACGAAAGATCTCGTACCTGGGGCACATTATACGGGGAGAGCGATATGACTTGCAACGCCTAATACTACAGGGAAAAAAAGTGGATCTGCCAGTGGACGGGTATAAGCGACTTTCAGGCATGGCACCTAAAGAACGAAAAGAAAAAGTTATTATATCTGTTCTAATTTTAAAAGCACAATAGGGTTTATCACCTCTCTAAACTTTCAAAACGCCTCGTGGGCTTTTAAGCAGTGTCCGCAACGTATCGTAGGCAACAAAACCCAAATTGTCTGATGTTGGTATTTGGTCGTTCGGCGCCGTCAGTAACGCGTTGTGACCAGTTTTTTCGATGTTTGGAGTAGTTACAACAGTACGCTTTTCTGAAATAATTTCGAAACACCCCGTATACCCGTATCGATATTGTCATTTTTTAAAACGCAATCCACTTCGACTATTTCTCGGTACCTGTTTTACATCGTAGATTTATTTATATCACGTCCTTTAAAAGGCAATACGTCAACACATTTCGCGCGGAGAGTTGTTGACTGGAGCGTGCAAATATATTCGCGCACTCGCCGATTCGTACGTGTAAATCAACGGGGGCCGCCCGAAATTTCCGACGCTTCCGACAGTTTTCCGTCAAGAAAATTGCGCAATAAAACTTGAAATTGATAAATCGCGTACGCGGCAACTATATTTTGAACGTCCGACTTGAGGCCGTGATTGATCGGAGACATTTTTTACGGGCCACAAACGGAGACGGCGACCGTAAGCGCCCCATTTAAAATCTCATAAATTCGAACCCGACGAATTCCCTTCAACGTATTCGGGCCGTGTGTTTCCGTCTATCCGCCCGTCCGACTGTTGCCGGTTAAAGTTTCATCACATTAGGACGATGTATTCGTTATTTTATGCGCCCGTGCCCACGCAGACCGTCGCTTGCAAAATAATAATCCTGATACTTTATTTGCAAAACCAACCAACTGCTTGAAGTTTTGGTTGTGGTACAGCACCACAGAAAATACAACTTTTTCAAAGCCCGTTTCACTTTATCCAAAGAGACGATTGTAAAGGAATTCGGTGTCACATATGACGTTTTTACCAAAAAATCAGGAGAATTTGCTATTTTTCATACATCGCCCTTTTCTAACAGAAAAACTCCACAAAAAGAGGAAATTGCTGGTTTATGCTTCGACTTAAACACCTTGACACCGTCGATCAGCATCTGTTGTTAAAGAAACTTGAGAGCTATTAGCTTCGAAGTAGGGTAAATATAGGTAATGGAAATCACTTAAGCGAGAATGAAAAAAAAAAGAAAATATATGAATCAATTATTTATTCCTCTGTTCTTTTTATAAACTTTACTTACTTAACTATCGATTGAGAGCAACTTTAATCACTTTAGTTTATTAATTAGGGTACAATAAAAGAAATGAAGAAAAAAGGTTTGATCACGATAGTCAACACACACACACACACACACACACACACACACACACACACACATACATACACACACACACACACACACACACACACACACAACTCACATCTTTAATGGAAAACATGCCCGGTACTTTTGATTTAGGTTGAATCGGAGAAATCGTTATAACCTGACAACACATATAAAGTAACAGCCAAAATATATAAAACTTTTATGTATAAAATGGCGACAAATACGGAAAAGCTGGTCTTGCTTATATCGCCTTCATTATCTAAAAGGCTGCTAAATTGTAGCATTTTCCTAATCTAGCACAAAAACCTCATATTTACACAGACTCTTAAAAAATCTTTACATTTATACCATTCTGTTTGGGGGGATGAACTATGACCAAAGAATATTTGGACACTAGCCCTGTCGAAGAAATAACTAAAGTCCAGTTGACACGTTTCAATTTCAATTGCAATGTTTTCGAGCAAAATGGGCTTGATTATTTTGGTGGCATTTTGTTTTTAAAGGTTATTTTTCAAATTTTGATGAAATATTCATTGACTTCTTTTATAATAGTTTTTAATTATCTGGGTTAGGCATTTTGCAATACCGATATATATGCAGCTTTGAATGGACCAAAAAATGACACATCTAGTGGCTGCATGCGATGGGGTGTATGGGGTGGAAGAGATAGCATATGGACATTGTTTTCCTTACAATACTCAAAAATTGCTAGAGAAATGTGCCTTGCATGATTATCCAAAACTAATAAGATTGGTTCTTCTGCAGAAAGTTTGGCATAGTCGGTGAAGTGCTTGAGCCATTGATGGAAAAGTTTTTCATTATTCCATCCATTGTCCGAATATTTATATATTGCTCCTGTTGGCCCATCCTTTTCGACAGTCGGGGTCATCCTCTTTCTGGGGAAAATAAACATTGGTGGGACATATCCTTCTGTAGCGCTCATAGCGACAAGCATCTTCTACATCGTCCGTCTTACCCCTTTCTCAACTAGTTATGGACCCTATTCTCTTTTGTCCCGTTGCAGCTAATAGTTTTCCAGGATCTTAGATGGTGGAGAGAACGGTTCCATCATAAAAATTTGTATTTTCCCATTAGTTCTTCCAGCAGGTCGTAAAATCGTTGTACTTCAGTCTTGTTGAAGGCTGTAACACTATTGATGCTGGTAGCTTCGGGCTTCCGCACAGAAATATTATTTCTGGTAATAAATCCCTCAAACCAAATTCGACCAGCCAATCTTGAACTCTCATTAAAATTATGTTTCAGATTTAGAACTTCAGCGTATTCAAATGTTGCTCTTTTTATTTCGTTTGGGGTGCACTCATAGAATATGTTGCCCATTTTCTTGATTGTGTCCGCTAACTCTTTATCCATATCAGGAGTGACGAGATTATTACGGCCCACACGAGGTGCCTCAAACGTATTTTTTTTTGTATCCCTTGTGGAGACTGGCGAATACTCATGGTCTTCACGGCTTTTCTTATAGAATAATTCTGTTCATTAATAAGTTTAATATCCTCTTCCAAGTCGTCTGTGGTCCAATTAGTTTTATTAGTCATTCTACGATGAACTTTCTACAAATAAAAATAATACTGTTTTACTAAGATAACGTAGTGTGGGCAATAGGGATCAATATGTAGGTAATTAACAATAATAATTTAACTGTTAACAATTTAACTGCTGAATTGTACGATTAAATGCGACGACTATTACACATTACAAGGACAGAAAGAAATATTTGTTATATTTGGACATTCTAATTTATCCACTCTAAAAATTAGATGAAAATGCCGCAAAATCTTCACTCTCCGATGTGTCGTGCGAACTGAGGTAGTCAACGGTAACGTTCGAGAAGTTCGTGTCGGTTGGTCGAGTTCAGTTTGTTTTATTTTGAGGTGATCACCATTGTCAACTGAATTCCATTACCTACATTTCCCCAACTTGCTAAAATCACATCTGGGAGATAGACAGCAAGAGGATTGGATCACTACAACAGGAAGTACTTCAGGTCCTTTCGATCTCTTTCTTTTGGTTCTGTACTTCGAAGCTCCTCTGCCAGTATTCTGATGAAACATAAGTTGTACTGTCCAAGATGTCCCTGAATGGCCTATCTGAGGCCAATGCGGTTGCCGTGGAGCGATGGAAGTGTGATGTAAGTAAGTTGAGCACAGATGAAAGAGGACTGATTGTTTTTGAAAACTTATCTGTTAATAATTACTCTCTATAGGCTAACTTGAACAGCAAATAAATTCCAGGGTATTGACCGCTCACTTAGTTGGGATGATCACTTATACTCTGAGTGCTAAAGTCTAAACAGTTTATGCGCTCTGATTCACAGAGACTTTTCATTCAGAGCATCAAAACCAGTCTCGCATTTCACGTCGGAAATTGTTCTGGAGTTCATCCAAGCGTGAGTAAACGTTTTCAAGACCAAGAAAGAAATATTAGGTGCATTCTCAAGCTGCACCCGAGGACCAGTTAAGTTTCTAGTATGTTCGTGAAGAAATATCTCTTTAGCAACATCTCTGGAACTAGGTTGGACTCAGTATCCCTGTATGCAACTCAACTTATTTTTCAATATTATCATTGAGTAAAGGCATATCAATCTTTGTCTAGCGGCATGGATGGGGTTGAAAACAGAGAGGAATTTAATGAAAGACGATACAGTACGAACAGCGCAAATGCTTTTACTCTTTTAATTTTGATTGTAAATGGTAAGGAAGAGCTGATAATGACAAAATCTTAATCCAAATCATTTTTAGTAGTAATTTGTTGTTTAAATATGTTTCAGATTTATCATCGTGTCTAGCATTAAATAGGAATGAAAGTTCTTACTTGGCTTCTTTATAAGGTCTTAATGCAACCTGTACATAAATTTGAGTAACTTTCTAGTTAACTATCTGTCGTGTCTGCCGTGTAACTTTTTCAAGCATATTATTATTGAAATTCATTTCTTTTTTCATTCACTATTCCCGTTTTCTTATATTCCAGAGAACATTCTTTATTATTTCTTACATTCTCTATTTTAAAACGCATATTTAATTAAAGCTCTCAAAGAAGATGGAAACAGATTGAGTGGAAGCATAAAAGTTGACTATTCATTTAACAAAAAAAAGTTACTTACTGGAATAAAGACGAACGTCTAAGTAATATTTGAAATAAACTGCAATTTTTATCGAAGTATTTGTTTAAAATATTATATGGTTTTAGTAATAATTAGCAATAAATGCTAAATCTTCAAAGCACTTATCTTGAGGGTTTTGATCCATGTTTGGTTGGACTGATGAATAAAATATGCTAAATTCTATGAAGAAATATAATTTTAGATCAAGAAAAGGGCAGATTGCTCGCGGTAATATTAGTATTAGCTACCGTGTTCGCTTCAGAGCGATGACTCTCGAAGCTGTAATCGACTATGTGAAACCACTGGAAGTTATGAAAGGTTGAACATGTCGTCTAGCAGGGCCTGCTGAAGCCGAATGACTGTTGTAAACCATCTTTATTTCTTTACAGATCATAAAAACTTTAAATAAGCATAAAGAATTACAAATTGATTTTTATTTATATCCATAAATTCATAGTTCTAAACTAAAGCAACCAAACGTTGTTAATTTTTTTCGGAAAATTGGTTTGCTAGAATCTATGTTGAGAATCCGAGCTATGCTCCTGGTAACTCTTTTATTACATTATTATACCACATTGCTGCTTAGAGCTTAGATATTGCCTTGCTTTTTAAAATTTAAAAAAAAAGCTATGGGTTAATTCGAAAATGAAATTTAACCCGAGATATAACATTCTGACTGATCCAGCCTGCAGACACTTTCATGAATAAAAAGTTAAAACCTATTAAACCTGTAGTTCACTTGTATTTTAGAACAAGTTCTCCTCGTCTTTATTCGATATGACGGACGTACTGTCATATGCATAACCAAGTATATAGTGTTCATCAAGATCAGTCAAATATAAAGGACTGATCCTTGGATTTTGGTTGCACTTTTTAATACGCACATTTCGTATTCTTCGCAGCGCGACTTCTAAGCCCATTTCGCCATGTTGGTGCTCGATATTTAAAATTGCCTTTTCGGCTACGCTACAGAAACAATGCAAGAGTCTAGAGGACATTAAAAAACATCCGGCGCGTATTACATAAATCTACTTCCGAGAATTTTATCGGTCGGGCAACACAATGCAGGTGCAAAATTTCTCTGGAAATTGTTACACGAAAAAATGATCGTTATGTGTGTCACCTGCGTCGCTTGGAACGTGTAAGAAACTCTATTACTTTTCGTGTCTACCGAACGATGAAATATATCGGGTCCTTTTTCGGGGCAATAACTCACGATTTTCCGACTTATTTTTACCGAAAGCAGCAAAAATGTCATTAGAAGCGTGAGACAATCAATTTTGAAGGCGGAAATGTCGCCCCGAAGCAATCGATTATTTCATATCCGAACCGGAGGGCCGAGTTTTTTGCCACCACCCTGTGAATATGACAAATGGTCCTAACAATTTTCTGGTCCTGCGGCCAGTGGAAAATGTCTGCCGCCAAACCACAGGACCAAGCAAAATCAACGTTTGTGATAGAAAATTTTATATTCCATACAGTCCTAGAGCCGAGATCAAAATTGTATTTTGTAGAATTTCAAAATTTACCTTTTCTATATATAACATGTAGCCCGTAATAACAAAAGAGAAAAACTGGTGGACTCAACAGTTTTTCCGAATAAAAATATTCTTGACTGACTGACGTCTTCTAGCTAGTTGTAAAAAGATAAGACGCCTCGTCACTGAAACTAAATAAGAAACCACATTTAAATCGAAGTTTACATGCAATTTAGAACAACAAACTATTAGTGATATTCGCTCATTTAGTTTGTTCTGTGCTATTCATGTTAGAACCACTTTTCTCATTTTTTCGATTACGTACCTTTATGGAACTTTGGTCAACTGAGCAAAATATTTTGGCTTAGACACCGAGCAGCAATATTTATATCATCTTGAACTTGTAATAAAATACAATTGGGTACCATTTTTCAAAACAGACTACCACAACATACTGCAAAAGTTTGGTATGATTTACAAAAATAAGTTTAAAAAAAAATATAAAAAAATACAGTGACTGCAGTAGAATATTCCAAAACCTAGTTGCATCACCCGCGTCGACGAAATCATTTATTGCTAACTCCGTACAAGTTGCCTTGAACAGTTCACTATATTTCAAATATGGTATATAATGATAAATTTTAAATAAATAAATTAAGATGTTTTTATTTCGTAAGGTGATTTCATATCATGTCGATAGACTGATTTTAAAAATTCTGCATTTATTTGTTTCACGTAAGGTTTTTTTTGAAAATATTAAAAAAAAAAAACGATATTTCTAAAACAACTGATTTAATAAAAAGTGGTATCCTAGTGAAAAACAAAATACTCAGACTTTTTTGAGTAAAATCTACGAGAAAGCTACTTTGTTCGGATATTTGGATGTGTGTTTTTAAGGGCATATCTCGTTTTAACATCCGACAGTAGTCCGCCATCATCGTTTTGCTTCATCTGCCTTGCTTGCGTCATTCCATTTCCTTAATGTCCAGGTGAAACCTCTATCCCTGTTCTTCGCTAACTGCTCCAAGATTTTCGGGAAAATAGTTCAAGTGTGAAAACCTAGACGATGAAAGTGTTGTAACATATTTTGAACAATATTTTTGTAGTTTTCGTCCTTAGAGTTCCCAAGAAACTTATCAATTACATCTGGAAATGAAATTAAACACACACTGTCCATTTTTGTCTAGGCCTTTAACAAACTGGTCAACTCAGCTATCTCTTAATACATTTTTACTACTTGCTATTTGAGTCCGATGTCTAGCTCTTGCCCGACTAGCCCACTCACAAATAAAGCATAGAAATTTTGTATAACACCCCTCTTGTCCTAGGAGCATGCACAGCACGTTAAGGCACTGATGTTCTTGGTAGTTTATTTTCTTCAAAAGAAGTCCTAAATTTTCATACCTTTCTTTTAAATATAGCGAATGTGCAACCGTTACCATTGTGCAATAAAACGCCTCTTAAACTACGCTTAATTGAGTCAATAAACAGGCGCCATTCTTCTTTTATATTCCTGCACATTTCCTGATGCTGAAACTAAGCCAGGAATATTGTTTCAATACGCAATGGTCCTTCCTGAGTAAAATGATGACATAACGCCAGGTGCCAGTAAATGTTTGTCACGAAGTCGGGACGCTGACAATTCGGATGCATCCTTTGAAAGGTGCAAATCTCTAATTGAATCATATCATCACTTCGGACTCTTTGTAACCTGGTGTGAAATCTGAGTTATCTGGATCGGAATTAGATTCATCTGATTCTGACGATATGACGTTTTCTAGTTCTTTTGGGGAGGTAGGTATCGGTACATCTGGTACATGAGGAACTGGTCGAATAGCAGAGTCAAGGTTGGTGTACACAATTTGTTTCTTATTTTTTCTTTTGAATCCTTGAACATTACACGAACAAAAATAAGAATTATCACTGCTACGCTCTCACCATACCATAGGAACACTAAAACATAAACATTTCTTTCTACCTTTTTGCAAGTTTCTTAATGCTTCTGCGCAAATGGAACAACCAAACTCCGTATAAGCAGGTTACAACGCTGTATTGAAGCTTCTGCGCCCACTCTGTTGCTTTTCAGAGAAATCTAATATTATTCAGCATTGCCAAATCACATTTAATTTCATATAAATCAATTCATTTAAAAAACATGCCTAACATGGAACAAACATATTAATGTCATAGGTATATATTAATAAAATAACATTTTTAAGATATAGAGCGCTATAAAAAACTGACGCGATAGAACAAAAATATGCCGAACAAGCACCTAGTGAACCTGAAAGATCTGACTCTGACCTTGTCCTTTCGACTGCCGGCTGCACCTTTGCCAGTTAAGGCCAGTGCCAGTTAGGGCAGTTGGGTAGACAGCTAGAGTATTTTTGTGGAGTTGAGAAGTCGATAAAATCCATTTCAACTCTCGACAAAAAAAAGTAGGGACTTTTAAACAGATGATTTCCAAGATGAGCATCCATCTCCAGCTCGTTGAACGTTGGCTTAGGTTTTAGTTCCTCTCCAAATTGAACCCATCTGACCCTAAATTAAAAAAAAAATAATTTCTGACAAATAGGTATTATTCTGCGGCGAGCAAAATCTGGCAATTAATATTAATTTTATGTACTTGGCAACTTTTTTGAACATAATATTACCCATTAAATTGTCGATATATATTTAAAGAAAAATTTCTTCGGCTATAGATCACCAGTATGATCAACAATTGAGAAAACTGGAAACACCGACTCATGTTGTTAAGAAGAATTGTGAGCGGTTGCGGATCAAGGTGAAATTCCAGTGGGGTTCGTGAGGTTATTTTAAAGTACTCAGATTATTTCGAAATTCTATTAAAAATGTTCGATATTAGAAAGTTTTGGTTTTCAGGCAATAGTCGATATTTGGTTGTGTGCTGGTTATAAATAACTAGAAACCCTATGACAAACTACCGCCTAAGGCTCTGTCAAAACGATTAAGGCGGAATAAATATTTCATCAAATATCCGCGCGTCCAATTCATTATTTATTGGCGACGTGTATTTTATTTGCATAATTCTCTTTTATCG